TAAACATGAATATTTAAACTTGACAACCCTGCAACGTGTAATGATACGTGTTAAACAATAATTAGGTCAAAGCTTGGCATGTGAAGTAGTTGCGGTGCGCCTTTATTACTGTGTTTATGTTCCGTAATAACCTCATATAAGACTCAATTTCCTGTAAAAGTATTTTGGAAATATCAAAATTTTAAGTACCTGGACGCGCCAAATGGATTAAATTTTAGTGATATTGATCCAACCGACAATATCGATCCTGTCCAAATTTTTATAAATTGAAAAGCTCTGGAATGAATTTTGCCTAACGTTTCTATTTAGATTTTTCTTGAAAATTTTACGTTTAGAATTCCGATTCCATGAAGTCTCATAGAAAAAAGTCATTTTTTTATCTTTTTCGAAAATGAAATAATGCCTAGTGCATTGCAGACACCAAAAATAGCCAAACGATCCGGCTTTCTCAAGTGATGTGCTCGCCAAAAAACAGAGCCTATTTTATATCGTCGTGGAAAATGGTGAACTACCCAACTGATTCAGTGTACAAGCGATTTTTTTTAAGCATAACAAGACAGGTATTTGACCACAATCACACCTGATGTTAAGTGGGATGCAGTCTAGGATTTTACATAATTATCTGCCCTGTAAGTGCCTATTCACTCTCGCCTTGAACAGCCCCGGATTATAGTTTTCGGGAAAGACAGCAGCAGGCAACGAATTCCAGTCCCTAGCTGTTCGCATTATAAAAGAGTCATCGAAACGCTTAGTGCGAGCTGGTGGAATGTGATTAGCCACCATTATCTGGGCCTGAACAATTAAATCTATTTGTCAGAGCTTGGATCGAATCGTAACAACCAAAACTTTCACTCACATGTGTGGCTGCAATGATCCCATGGCTAATGATTCGTCTTTCTGGAAATGGACCGTGGAGAGGCGCTCACGAAACATAAATGTGCAGAGAAAGCTCGTTTCTGAGACACATTTTGGTACCTTTATGGGTGAAGTCACGATATCTGATGTATGACCTCTATCAGCTAGAGGCAGTCGATTTTTTCTTGTTTCAAATCATGTTTGACCTCTCATTGGCAAGATCAATTGGGAAATCAATACTATACTAATACTACATAATTTCATTGTAGCTGTAATGTGTATTTATTGAATACTGAATAATNAGTTAAATTAACCATAAATAGTAAAGATATTAAAATATTTGCAGTGGAACAAAGTGTTGGTGAGAGACATGAGAAAATCATTGGTCTTTGCCAATCATGTACTTTGGGCTTTGTGGCAGGTTGTGGCGAGTTTAAACGCTTTGTTTAAAATATCAATTAAAACTTTTATCTGATTCCGATATTACGATATTGGGTCGCTCAATATCGGAATTGAAATATCGGATCTCGCAGTCCGAGATTCCGATATTACGAGATTCCGAGATTCCGATATTCATGCCCTAATTCATGCCCTAGTTTGGATCTAATTATGAACGTACTAGCAATTAGACAACTTTCATAGAACGCAAGCCCACTGATCAGCTGTCAAAATTACAACTCCGTGTTAAAATAAATACTTTGGAAGCTTAACAAAATTAGTAGGACTTTAAAAATTTCTACTAATTTTGTGACGTCCCTACTCCCTACATGACCACCATGTACTGATCTACATGGTGAGAGATAATTAGAAAACTTACTTGGTCTTTTGCTTATTCTGGTCTAGAGTCCCTAGATGGTTAGTGTCCATATTTGGAAATTGAACGTTACATTTGAAATTAAGACTTCCTAAAGCAATAGTGCGTATTCATTAGCTTGAACTTCTGCGCAATGGAAACATTATTGTGCCCTGCAAGTAAACAAGCTCCCAAGCCATAAAGCAATTCAAAGCTAACCTTCCCAATCCTCGTTGAAGCAATACCGATAAAGGACAAAGACGCTCGCAAAGGAAATGGATTTCCCAAGCACCAATCAACTACCACTAGTCGCACTTAACGCCATGGACTTAGTAATAAATCAAACAGGCCATTGGAACTAATCATCGTTTGCCACAGCCATACTACATGCCAATCGATGTTACAAAGGCTTGGCCACGCGTGTCCTATGAGATGTTCCGCATGCCTGTGTAAAGACAGGGAGCCTAGACAAAGTAAAGCATTTTGTGACGGTTTTAATTTCGAAACCGCTTCACGAAACGAAATAACAAGGACCTAAAACGTATGAGCGAAGAGATTTCGGAATGATCACTGTCACTATTGTTATTTTGTCTAGGGCCTAGGGCTGATATAGGTACAGACGTGGTATCCAAATAGGTAGTATTGAAGTGTGGTCAGGCAGAAGATAGAGCTCCGCTAACTAACAATCGCCGTCAAAAGTTTCTGTAGATAAAATTCTGTTTTGATTGGAACTTAATCGCCACTTTAAACAAAGTTAAGCTTGTATTTTTTAGTTTTTACTAATAGCTGAAGCATTACACACACACCTCTTGCCATCTGGTGTCAAAAGCGACGTCTCCTTTCACTCTATGTACTTCATATGTAAAAGATGTCCAATAGAAAAAAAGAAGCGGTGAATGGCAATTAGACATCTCAGAGGCGCAACCTTGTCATTAATCTCCACACAGCTGCTTAACACTTAACACCATTCTATTGCAAAACAATTTGTTTTCAAGGTTGTCGATCCTATAAAATCCTCCGTCGAGTTTACTCAGTTATATTATTATGCAACACCTAGTGTAGGCCGGACCCACTATGCCGATTGCCGACAAGTGGCCACATTCCTGCGCGATGACGATGACTATTTACTAAACACGCGTCTATTGATCTGAGTCGATTGTGGACATTCATCGATTAATCGATCGGGACCCCTGTCTGTGTTGAACCCACGTGGAGGGTAGGGTTGTCACATCAGCATCAGCTACAAGTTCTGTAGTTTCAGACCCAATAGCTTCTTTTGGGGAGACGTAATCGCCTTGGGTAAAGACATGTAGTTATAATTTTTCCTAATTACCTAATTAATCTTTGGAAAATATTTTCACTAGAAAGAAGTTAAAATCTCACTTTATTACTATCGTTTCTTTCTTTTATCACACTCCACTGTTTGTAGCACTTAACAGGTCTCGTTTAAATATCCAAACATGAATAGTTAGTTCAACATGAATAGTTAGTTAAACATGAATATTTAAACTGACAACCCTGCAACGTGTAATGATACGTGTTAAACAATAATTAGGTCAAAGCTTGGCATGTGAAGTAGTTGCGGTGCGCCTTTATTACTGTGTTTATGTTCCGTAACCTCATATAAGACTCAATTTCCTGTAAAAGTATTTTGGAAATATCAAAATTTAAAGTACCTATAGACGCGCCAAATTGTTTATATTGATCCAACCGAAAATACAGTATCCTTTCAATATTTTAAACTGAGAAGCTCTGTAATGAATTTTCCCCAATCTTTCTAACTTGATTTTTCCTGTCAATTTTACATTAGAATTCCGATTCCATATAGTCCCATAGAAAAAAGACATTTTATCTTTTCCGAATATGAAATAATGCCTAATGCATTGCAAACACCAAAAAATAGCCAAAAGATCCGCCTCTCTCGAGTGATACACTTACAATAATCAGTATTTTAATCATATCGTCGAGGAAAATGATGAACTGCCCAACTGATTCAGTGCACAAGCGATTAGCCACCATTATCTGGGCCTGAACAATTAAATCTATTTGTCAGAGCTTGGATCGAATCGTAACAACCAAAACTTTCACTCACATGTGTGGCTGCAATGATCCCATGGCTAATGATTCGTCTTTCTGGAAATGGACCGTGGAGAGGCGCTCACGAAACACAAATGTGCAGAGAAAGCTCGTTTCTGAGACACATTTTGGTACCTTTATGGATGAAGTCACGATATCTGATGTATGACCTCTATCAACTAGAGGCAGTCGATTTTTTCTTGTTTTAAATCATGTTTGACCTCTCATTGGCAAGATCAATTGGGAAATCAATACTATACTAATACTACATAATTTCATTGTAGCTGTAATGTGTATTTAAATTGAATACTGAATAATAGTTCATTTGTTTCCCTTATAACTAGCTATTTGTCCTGGGAGTTCTCAGTCCTGTTAACATTTTGAAACCACGTTTCTCTAATTAGGATTTACCTACTTGTCAGTTGAGATTTATCAACCGTTGTTGGGTTCAACAAGTTCGGTTTAGGCATTCGTGTTTGTTACTCCGATATTTTCAACGTTCGTTTATTTGTCTTGTTCACGTGTGCAGCCTGTCAATTTAGATATCAATATGGTATATTAATTCATCTTGTACTGAATTTATAGTTCGTTTACTTCAACGCAGAATTTCAAGTGCGTTTCTTCCGTGACGTTGATCATTCATCAGTTGAGCAATGAATAATCGGCAGTATATTGTTTGGTACAAAACATTAAGGCTGAAATACCTAACGCCTGTTATTAGAAGAAAGCTATTGATGTTATGCTGTATACTTTTTTTGACCTTGGAGAGTGCAAACTTGCCTTCTTACATTGGTTGGACCGATCAATGGGTCATAACGTTAGATTTCTGGAACAAATTAGTTTGGGTGCCACGACCGATTATTAAATACACTTTAAATGCTCTTGAAGTTGTCATTTAAAATGTCCTTAGTACATCTGACATTTTTTTTATCAAAACACAAAATCCTGTGATCCTCTTTCATTTTATTTCTCAAAAGAACAGATTAAAGATCTTGCAAATCGCTTAATAATTATCTTATGCCTATTTTCATCATCAATCCCTAATTTTTAATTGACCCCTAGGAAAACAAAATTGCTGTTATTTGTAGGGGTCACTTAAAAATTAGGGATTGATGGTGAAAACGGGCATAGATATTTATGTATGGTCTATCAAACCAATTGTTATTCTGTGGTATGGTAGTGAGAGTGGTACTTTGGAATTTCGTTATTTCTGAAAATGATAATATAATTATGTCATAGTTGCGTGCCTTTTTCCTAACTCTCGCTATCGTTCCAGCGACAGCAGATGCCATAGACCGAGCGAGACTAGCCCGCGAGCGGCGCGAGGCCGAGCAGCGTAAGCGTCTGGACGAACTGCGCGCGCACGCGGCCGCCGCGCAGGCGCAGCGCGAGAAGCGCGACGAGGAGCGCCGCCGCCGCCAGGCCGAGCAGCGCGCTAAGGATGACGATAGGAGAGTCCAGGTAAATGCTACTTTATTGTGGGTCTAGCAGGGTCTATTATTAGTCGCACATTCGCAGGCAGTCTCAGCTGCACTTGCTAAATGATTATCTTGAAGTGCACATAGGGAGTAACTGGAGACATGCCCGCTACTCGACGATCGGACAGTCCAGGTAATGTACCATATTGTGTGCATAAAAGTGTAAAAAATTTGTCGCACATTCGATGTAACAAAGAGATGAAGTAGGCCAATTCTCAGCGTTTACCAAATGTTTGTCTCTAAACGCTGGTAGGAAGTATCAGGAGACTTGCTCGCTGTCACCAGGCGGAGCAGCGAATTTTTTTCTCGAAGCGCTCTGGTAGGTATATGACACTAGCCCGCGAGCGGCGCGAGGCCGAGCAGCGCAAGCGGCTGGACGAGCTGCGCGCGCACGCGGCCGCCGCGCAGGCGCAGCGCGAGAAGCGCGACGAGGAGCGCCGCCGCCGCCAGGCCGAGCAGCGCGCTAAGGATGACGATAGGAGAGTCCAGGTAAATGCTACTTTATTGTGGGTCTAGCAGGGTCTATAATATTAGTCGCACATTCGATGTAACAAAGACATGAAGCAGGAAACTTCTCAGCTTTTGACAAGCTGATAGAGTATTAGGACACTTGTGCGCCGCCGGCGCGCTAAGAATGACGATAGGAGAGTCCAGGTAAATGTAACTTTATTGTGGGTCCAGCAGGGTCTTTAATTAGTTGCACATTCGATGTAACAAAGACATGAAGCAGGAAACTTCTCAGCTTTTGACAAGCTGATAGAGTATTAGGACACTTGTGCGCCGCCGGCGCGCTAAGAATGACGATAGGAGAGTCCAGGTAAATGCAACTTTATTATGATCCTGCAGGTTCTATAATTAGTCGTACATTCGATGTAATAAAGCATCTCAGCTTCAGCTGCACTTGCCAAATGTTTATGTTAAAGTGCAGATAGGGAGTAACAAGAGACATGCGCGATGCTCCACGATAGGACAGTCCAGGTAATGAACTCTATATAGTGTGTGCATGAAAGGGTCAAAAATTAATCGCTCATTCGATGTAACAACGAGATGAAGTAGGCCAATTCTCAGCGTTTACCAAATGTTTGTCTCTAAACGCTGGTAGGAAGTATCAGGAGACTTGCTCGCTGTCACCAGGCGGAGCAGCGAATTTTTGTCTCGAAGCGCTCTGGTAGGTATATGACACTAGCCCGCGAGCGGCGCGAGGCCGAGCAGCGCAAGCGGCTGGACGAGCTGCGCGCGCACGCGGCCGCCGCGCAGGCGCAGCGCGAGAAGCGCGACGAGGAGCGCCGCCGCCGCCAGGCCGAGCAGCGCGCTAAGGATGACGATAGGAGAGTCCAGGTAAATGCAACTGTATTACCATCCAGCAGGGTCTATAATTAGTCGATGTAATAGACATGAAGTAGGAAACTTCTCAGCTTTTGACAATGTTTCTCTCGAAGCGCTGTTAGGGAGTATCTGGACACTTACGCGCTGCCGCTAGTTGAAGCAGCGCGCTAAGGATGACGATAGGAGAGTCCAGGTAAATGCTACTTTATTGTGGGTCTAGCAGGGTCTTTCATTAGTTGCACATTCGATGTAATAAAGCATCTCAGCCTCAGCTCTTGCCAAAATCTTAAGTACTGATAGGGAGTATCAGGAGAATGCGCGCTGCCGCCAGGCTGTGAAGCGCGCTAAGGATGACGATAGGAGAGTCCAGGTAAATGCAACTTTATTATGATCCTGCAGGGTCTATAATTAGTCGTACATTCGATGTAATAGAAGAGATATGATAGCCAGTTCCTCTGTGGTTGAGGATTCTGGGCGAAGCTTGCTTCCACCTTCGGCCTGATCATCACTTACCATTAGGTGAGATACAGGTCAAGAGCTTCCTCGTTGTGGTTAAAAAAAATAGTATCTCAGCATTTCCCATTTGTGTCTCAAAGCGCTGTTAGGGAGTATCTGGACACTTACGCGCTGCCGCTAGTTGAAGCAGCGCGCTAAGGATGACGATAGGAGAGTCCAGGTAATGTACTCTATTGTGTGCAAAACAGGGTCCATAATTAGTCGCACGCCTTTACCAAATGTGTCTCAAAAGTATCGGATGACGATAGGAGAGTCCAGGTAAATGCAACTTTATTGTGGGTCTAGTAGGGTCTTTAATTAGTCGCACATTCGCACACAGCCTCAGCAGCACTTGCCAAATGTTTATCTCAAGATAGGGAGTATCAGGAGACTTGCGCGCTGCCGCCAGGTGGAGCAGCGCGCTAAGGATGACGATAGGAGAGTCCAGGTAAATGAAACTTTATTGTGGGTCTAGCGGGGTCTATAATTAGTTGCACATTCGCTGTAACAAAGCATCTCAGCTTCAGCACTTGCCAAATGTTTGTTCCAAAGCGCTGATAGGGAGTACCAGGAGACTTGCGAGCTGTCTTCAAGCGGAGCAGCGAATTTTCGTCTCGAAGTGCTCTGGTAGGGAGTATAGTACACATGCGCGCTGTCGCCAGGCTGAGCAGCGCGCTAAGGATTACGATAGGAAAGTCCAGGTAAATGCAGCTGTACTGTGTGCCTAACAGGGTCCATAATGTGTAACATCTTAAGTAGAATTCACTAGAGGCAGCCTCGCCTCGGTCTCGCGAAGTGGAGACGCTGCCTCACCTCAACCTTGAGAAGAACCATTTTTTTTAAAAGGCAACACAGCCAGATTTTCGAACCGCAACGTGGCTTCAAGCCGAGCAGCCTCTTCTTGAGGCAGACTGAGGCTGCTAATACGAGGGCTGCACTAAAAGTATCGGGANTAATAGATACCAGACTTTATGTACAGTCGACCGTACTTAAAATAATGCACTGTGCTATCTTATGTAGATGTTATTATGAATGAATGTTTCACTGGATCTCCGTGAATTTAGAAAAAACTAATACCCCGTGATTCATTGCAGTTTGCAATCCTATTCCTGAAGAGAATTACCTTTAATCATAAATAAGTAGTAATTCATATCAAAAGCATACGATTTATGATGGTTTCATTCACCTCACGCTGTCATGAGAAGTCGAATAGACCTGATAATTAGGGACACTTCATTCTTAATCACTCTGTAATTGATTTAGTCATCCAATTTCGCTTCTTTGCTGCAGAGTTATTCAAGAATCTACAAAGGCAAAATGGACCCGCAGGTGACCCAAATAATTTTATTCAACGTACATGTTCTTAAACGTAGAGTTGTTAGTATACTTGTGTAATACGGGCTAATCTTGTAATTTCCCTGTGATGTTATTGTAAGTCACTACTAACTCGATTATAATTGAAGTACGAGTACTAGCTATCTTAGTAGCAACGACACCTAACGCCTAGCTCCATGACTTTCACCTTCCGAGTTAAATAATAGACGTTATGGCGGTGAAAATTAGAAATTACCCAGAGTCCACTGCGAAAACAAATCTACGTGAATGGGAAATAATAACACGTTCCGTTTCGGTATTATGATAAACACCGACTCAAGGTGCTACCTGTTGGGTGTTGGGAGTTGAAGGTTCAATAATAGTTCCGAGTCTGGCAGGTTCGTAATTTTCTATAGGCCAAGCAACAATCGGTGCATTTATTTGTGCAATGAGATAATTCGTAGGAAGCACATAGCTAGCTCTAGTTACTTGACGTAATTGAATATCTTGTGTAACATATTGCTGACTTCCACAATCCTTTGGATGCAATTTAGTGTATTTAGAACAATTAGATTTAAAGATTTGATTTGACTAGAAACGATTTTACAAATATTTGGAGCTAACTGGTTCATTTCGGATAAATACTTAGTCATACTGGAACAGATTGTTCTATTAGAAAAGATATTTTTTACGATCAATCGCGGCAATTAGTAGTAGAAAAATCTTGTTAAAAATATCATTCCCTAAACTCCTTTCTCCGCATCTAGAGGCGTGTTGAAATCGCATGTTGCGCTATCGTCCGAGATTAATTAGAACTTCTCGATTACGCACGTCAATTAGTACGTTATGTGCATCTATCTATAGTAAGTTTTTGCCAGCACTTTAATCTTTGTTTACGTTTTTTACCCCCAATTCAGCAAAATTTCCAAGATTCACCAGATTTGGAATAGCTTGATTTANATTTAATTTTTCTTCCTATTGTTGCTGCAATTTGAATAATTTTAATTGGGAGTCCGTGGTCTGAAGCTGGCAATCACTGACCAATTTGTATCTGGCAATCTGGCTGATTATTCTGACTCAGTCGATATTACAACGATGTTTTAACTTCCACGATAAAGATCTTTTGCTAATTTGTAAAATACTCGAGGTCTTGAAACAATTTGCGTCAACGTTTTTAAGTTCAACAAAATTTTAGCAGCGAACACAGCTAAAACTTTATCGTTTCCAGCAGTCTTAAAGATTCTTGTTTAAAGCGAAAATAAAACTTCGTTTCTCAGTCCAATTGCAAAGTTTCCTTGAAATCTCCAATAGTTTTCCCATACTCAAAAGTATTCGTGATTGCCTCGTAAACGCCATTTCCCTGCGAATTCAATGTGTATGACGTAGGTGACTAGGTGTTACATAACTCGTCCTCGTCGAGATGATGTCACTACCACGCATTGACTATTGTAATGTCGTTTGCTAGCTAGATTACGCCGAAAATTGCTATCGTTAGATATTTTAAATGTTTCTGGAATTCCAAATATCGCACCTTCGGTAGAACAAGGGCACAATTGCACTTTTTGCAATTTTACAGGAGAGCTATTAATTATTAGCTACACATTTTGAAAGTATTTCTGCATACTTAACTCATTTTTGCAATTTTTGACAATTGTGCCCTTGTTCTACCGAAGGTGCGATATATTTACTGTTACAAAGCAATTATAATCATGCATGACTCAAAAAAGTGCCGCAAGTATTTTTAACTTTTGCCCAAATTATTTCCTAGATGCAATTATTTATATTTAGAAAATTAATTTATTTCCTTAAATGTAATCGCTTGGAATCGGTACCTACATTTATAAAAGT